AATAAAATCCATTGCCATTGAAACCTGCTCTCACATGTCTTATCTCCTAGAACTCTTCCAATGGCCCAACATAGAAAGTAACCCAGATTTTCATCGTTAGCCTCACATATAGATAAGAAAACATTAACTCGATAAATTAAAGTATGTATCCCTCATTCACTCCCTCTTACAGTAACTATTTATTGAGCTATTACTTGGGCCAGTCTGAAAGCACTGCCCCAAGCACTATGTAAGATCTGAAGAACATTATGGCGGTTTATGCAAAGTCTTATTGTAGAGGAAGAGACAGAAAATACAGAGGCTCATAATGTATGTTACCAAGTGACAGGCTGTGAAGACATGGTAACAGGGCTGGAGAAGTAGCTTCTCTCTAAAGAGTAATCTGAGCTGTACTCTAAGCCCTGGGTGCAGGTCTCTGCTCCACATTGCTCAGAAAGCTGATGTGCATCAGTTAGTGACCCTTTCTTTTATGGATGCTGCCCAGGGCTTGACTGGTACATATTTGAGCACCAGTCCCATCGAGCATAAGATCCACCCTGGCCCATGCCCAGCCACCCAGCCTTACTTCACTTCACATGAAGACTGTGAACTCCTAAGAGGCAAGAATCACTGGTGCATGGTTTACAATAAGCACATGCTTATTCACCACTGGAGTGGTAGAGAAAAGCAATCAAAATAACTGGAGACTTTTCTCCTGCTTCAATATTCATAAAGATGGCAGCCAACTCAAGGAGCGATTCCCAGAACTATAGGGCCCTTCCAAAACAAGCCTAGCCTTCCCATAGTGCCCTAAGCTCTAGAGTTCCTCTCTAACACAAACCTTATTGGACAACCCATGGCCAAAGAGTCCCTACTAGAAACCATATTAACCCAGGTTACAGGGAATAAGTCAATTGAATTCAATGGACCTCATGATATTGCAGGGGGTGGAGAAGGGAGGGAGGAGTGGGAGAGAACAGGGAAAGGGAGAGAGAATAAACCCCAAAAGATTAAAAGCAACCAAGGAGTCACTGGCTAGAGTAAATGAGAAAGACAAAGAAGCTCAGTTATTTGGAGTTTTCTGTTTCATATCCACTAACATAGCTCCATCTTATGATTACTTCTTTAAAAAAATTATTTATTTACAGCATCACTGAATATCTTTCACCTCAAAGGTATGCATATGTGCATTGCAAACTTTCCTATGCAATGAAGGATGAGTTATTCAAACTTCATATCTTAGTTTTAACAATTTTCCCAAATTGGAACTATACTTTGGTAATACTGCCTGTGAAGATAGAAGACTTTAAGCAACAAAATTCCACAATACTGTAACTTACCTTCAGACCTCCAGATGGGTCACTTGCCTTGAAAATCACCCTATTGGGTTATTTGCATTTGAACTGAATAGGTTCAGTCTCTTTAACCTGGTTTTGTACCAAAAATTGACAGTGGGTCCATCTAGCAAATATTCCAGAAAGTTCCATGGCAACAAAAAGGTCCCAAACAAAATACCTGAAAAGAGCTCCAGAAAAGGATACATGCAACAACTGAACTCCAAATTCACAAGAACATTTAGGTGATAGTGAGGATTGTGGTTGGTCTCAATTTTCAGCAATAATCTGATTCCATCACTTTCCAACTGGGGGCTACTCAGAAGCAAATACACTCAGAAGCACAGACAGTGACAGTTGCCAGGTGGGCACAGGGGACAGCAGCACTGACCAGGTCAGCTTTCCTCACTTGTTTCCAAGTCACTTTTTTTTTTTGCAGGATCACTTGCAAAATTATGAAGATACAGTGAAAACAGAAAATTTTAAAGCAACAAATAGTGGTCCCTTTGGAAAAAAATCAAATATCATTCAGCAAAGAATTAGTTTATCTATAAAAAATAATTTTAAATACCTGAATTTGCGTTTACAAAGAGGAACTGCCTGCCAGGAACTAATAAAACATTTCACTAGATTTAGAAGCTGAGGAAGAATTAGACACTTAGCCCCTATAATCAGTGGTACTGATTTTATCCGGCTTCATTCAGCAGTAGGTTCGTTGCTTGACAATACCCATGAGCTGCAGGCTCATCTCAGAGCAATGAGAGCAAGTGCTTTCTTCATTCCATTCACTGTTTTGATGACTGGGCTGTGTAGTCAGATTTGTGATGACTCTTTTCAAATTACATTTATTCTTTAGATGTCCAGTTTCTATTTAGAGATGACTGTGATTTTAAAGAATTGTTTGATCTCATCTTTAAAATTATCTTCTTTAAGAGTGAATTCTGCAAAATCGAGTGTATGAAATGATTGCTGGATTCCAGGAGGGATTTCCTCAACAAGATCTTTCATTTACAGTTGGTAAAGCCAATGGTTCAGTAATGAGAGACATGTTTGTCTTTCAGGGGAAATACATAAATATCTGGACACATTTCTGATTGTCACAACATAATGGATACTCCCAGCACCTATGAGTAGAGGCCAGACATACACACAGCACAGCCCCTTACAACAAAGAAGCACCTGTTCGAAGTGCCACGAATGTTGAGACTACAAAAGCGCAGGAGAAGCTCTTACTACCTCACAGGGCAGCTGTCTTCTTACAGTCTATTATGATCCAGAATCTTCCTCTATTATTTCTTTGGCATTCAAAGTACCCATTCCCACTGAATTGTGGAGTTTGAACCAGAGTTTGCCCAGTTAGTGGCAAAGGAAAAGTAGTTAAATAAATTGTTTTGATTTTTTTGTTTATTTTGTTGATATTTTTAAAAAATTCAGGAGAGAATATATTTTTCCACAACCATGGAGCATTTCTGGATGGCTACCATAGTGCTGTAGGGATTTATATTGGCCAAATGCCACAAGGGGAAAAATAACCTCTATCTTCACAAGCAAAGTTGGAAGTTAGAAAATAATAGCAGGCCCTCCCTGATGGCACAACCAGTTAAATCGCAGCACTATGAAGCTATCGCAGCCTCTACATTATTAGTTCGAAGTGACCCACATGGCACGGCAGACCTCTCCTGACCTGACCGCTGCTCCCCTCAGCAGTGTATTTCAGTACATCTGCCTGTTCTTCTCCCCACTCTTTCTCTGGTGAATCCTCTTGCCTATACTCCAATTCTGTATGCATAAATAAATAAATCTTAAAAAAAAAAAAAAAGACAGCACTTCTATAGTGGGTGCTGAATAATGTGGAGTTGACACTGTCTATAGAGATGGAGCCCCAGGAGGGAAGCAGGCCGCGAACCCTGTGTCCTCCAGGTCAGCACACAAGACGTCTGACCCAATACAACACAGAGGGTGCCCTGACATCCTAACAATCATTTTCAGGGCCCTCCCTGGTGATACAACGGGTTAAAGCACAGCACTACAAAGCCAGCAGCAGCTGCTTCAGCAGGAATTCGATCCTAGGCCAGGGAGTTGACCCACACAGTGTATCAGACCTCTCCTGACCCGCCCACTGCTCCCCTCAGCAGTGTACTTTGTCAATCTGCCTGTTCTGCTCCCCATTCTGTCTCTGGTGTGTCCTCTCACAGCTCCTGCACCTCTGGACTGTACCTTAGTTCTATATGCATAAATAAATAAATTTTTTAAATCATTTTCAGCTCTTAAAAAAAACAACAACAGGAAAATTACTGAAATTAACCTAATCCTACAAGAACACCAAACAGAACTTTTTCTAACCTCAGAGAAAAACAGGGTTGTTTCAATCTATTGCCTCCAGCAGGGCTAATTCAAAGGGCAAAAGGAACTACCGTATTTCCTTGGAGGAATTAAAACGTAGGGCAACTGAAGAGTGAAAATACCAGGCAGCAGGTATCCCCCTGCCTGTGATGACGACTGCAATCATCCAAAACAAAAATATTGCACTTCATTAGTTTGTTTGAACTTAATTAAATGCACCCAGCCGACTCTCTTAAAAAGGTATTCTTTCCTGTTGACACCACTCCAGATTTTGGTATGTGCATAAGTGTCTGTCAAGATACTTTTTGGAGGCTAGATTTAATTATATTGGAATTAAATGTTAGCCTTTCCAGAAAAATACTTCAGAATTTAATTAAACGACATTATTTAAATGTAAACTAGTATGCATTCCTTTAGCCAGCTGCACAAAAGCTATAAAATTATAATTGTTCCCTTTCAAAATGATACAGAATCAAATTAGAACCTCCAATTTTGTTTGTTTTTAACGATTTATTTATTTATGCATATAGAACTAGGGTACAGGCCAGAGGTGCAGGGGCGGTGAGAAGATTCACCAGAGACAGAGTGGGGAGCAGAACAAACTGACTGACAAAGTACACTGCTGAGGGGAGCAGCAGGCGGGGCAGGAGAGGTCTGCTGCACTATGTGGGTCACCTTCAGGGTGGGGACTGAACTTGGACTGAGGTGGCTTTGGCCAGCTTCGCAGCGCTGAGCTTTAATCTGCTGCACCACCAGGGAGGGCCAGAACCTCCAATTTTGAAGCGTAAGACAAATTTCTTCTTTGGCTTGGGCCAAGATATCTCACTCAACACTCATCTAGGAACATACAGCCCACATTTCACCCTGGCAATTTTCATGGAGATGGCTTATTTTTTAATATTACAAGTAAAGGGTCTTATATTTACCTCCTTTGTAGCTATATATAGCTTAATAAACTCCTAGGGATGAAATTATATTTAGGCATTTTTCTATTTACCTGGCTCATCAGATACATTTTCAAGGAATAAAAAAATTCCTATTCTACTGCTCACGGGGCCTTACTTCAGGCTTAGAATCTGTAAATGTCACATGTTCAGTGGTGTTTGTGCTGAAAAACTGTGGGTGCCACGGGTCTAAGAAATGAGCACTTTCAGTCAACATTGCACCCCATTAAAGAAGATTCTAGCTCTTTGGTGAGATACCACCCTGTTCTCATAGCTATGAAACTGTCCTGATTAAATTATTATTGCCTAAACAACTAAAGACATGACAGATGCTTCTCCAATGTTAACATATTGAGTCATGGATTCTATTCAGATTTGAATACATTTATTTGAACTGGATGTGATGAAAGTGCAGGCTCCTCAAGACACATCAAAGGCAGATGGCCATTACAGTCATTCCCATTTCTCCCTTGGACATATACTTTTCATCTAGTTACAGGCAGGCAAGGATAATAAATACTTGAAAATACATCTCATTAAAGTCCAGCTAGCTTATTTTTTGACAGAAATGAATACTTGATTTCACATATTCTTCTATCTCAGGAATTTTCTCCTGGCAAAGGCTACCTAGATCAATGTGATCATATCAAAGAAGACTTGAAGGAGATTTGAACCAGTGACTCTAAAAGACATAAATAAGTGCCTATGTCATACCTAGGAAGTAGAAATAGTCCCACTGTTGCAAGTGGGGAAAAAAGTACATTTTATACTTAAACATTTGAGACTGTAGCTGTATAGCTACAGCTGTAGCTGTAGCTCAGTTCACAGCAAAAAGTAAACATTAGTTTTCTCTCCACCCCACAAATAAAGAGGACACCCAAAAACATTTTCTTCCTCCCATCCTTCCCCCCAATCCAATAAACTACTTCTGCTGGTGCTCTCACAGTATTTTCTACCTTAGTAGGTATTCATTTTATATTTGTTCCAAAATACATAAAGAAAAAATGTCTGTAATTTCCCTCTTTTGTGATCTTCCAGTGGAATGTGTAAAAAACAAGTAGCAATAATGGTTAAATCTGTTCGATGTACTTGGCTGTGAGCTCACCTGAGAGTCAGTTAGAAGTTCTAGTGCATTTAAAACAAAACAACTTTGAACCCCAAGTCCAGTCACTGAGTCTCAGGCCTCTGTCCCAGACAGATAAGTGCTTCTGAAAACCAAGGTTCAAAGCAAAACAGTTGAAGAGCAGCATGAGACCCTCACCCCCGGGATGCTGTAGTGGGGTTATCAGTTGCCTCCAAATGAAGAAAGGTCCAGCTCACATCCTCAGAGGCCACCCGGGGGGCACACAGAGGGTCAGCGCCAGTGTGGTCAGTGCCCTCAGCCTACTACTCTTCCACTGACTACACGGACCCTCCATGGGCCTGGTCCGTACAGTCTGTTTCCGCACTAGCAGATTAGAAATGGGTGCTGTTGACACAACGCTGGTCCTCCCGAGTTCTGGTAACAGCTTGACCATGATCACGCAGACGGCCATCCAGAGAGACTTCGATCGCCACGTCTGGGGCTTCCAGGTTGCCGAGGCTGTCACCCCGGCCTGCATCAAGCAGGGGCCCGCCATTGTGCTCGGCACAGCCATTGACGTGAGCCAGCGGCAGAGCTCCAGGGGGGCAGCACAGGTGCTTGGCGCAGCCCTTGGAGACGCAGGGGGAGTTGCAGAGCAGCAGCAAGTCCTTCTGCTCCGGCTTTTGCTCCAAGTCCACGTCTTCAAACTGGATGGTCACGTTGTGGATTCCTGCCTTGTGGAAGATTTGTCGAATCTTGGCACTGGTTTCCTGATAGCCCCGGTCTTTGTGGTACTTGATGTGCAGGGTAGCGATGATCTTTCCACTTATAAGTTCCCAGACGTGCACCTCATGCACACTACTAATTCCAGGCACGGCAGAGAGCTTGCTCACTAGAACATGGAAGAGCAAACAGCCTGGTGAGCACTGGGACCGCAGGCCAAAGAGACAGGAGGGGAGTGGTCCCTCCCAGTATTCTTGGCAGAGTGACTGACTGAGGGGACAGCAAGAGAAACAGACACTCCTTCTCCCATTGGCCTCTCTCCCTCTGAATTCTTCTGCCACACACTTTTTCACCCAGAAAAGGCAAAGCAAGAAAAGAAGCTGAACAGTCAACAGAGAAGCTTAAGGTGACTGAGTTTCCAAGAGAGTAGCATCCTCCTGGACAGTCCTCGGGAGGTAAGTGGGCTGTTCTTATGAAGGGGGTAATTTGGAAATTTGCACTGAAAATATGGTGAAGGATGGAAACTGGACTTTTGGTGGCAAAAGGCATTGATTATAATGCTGTGCACCTGAAACCTATATAATGTTCAACAACAACAACAAAAAACATGTTTAATGAAAAAAAAAAACTGCTATCAGTATTTCCAGAGCTAGGATTTATCCTAAAGGAACTGTCCAAATACTTATGGATAAAAAATCACCTGAGCAACACTCTTTATACTAGTGAAAAATGGGAATAACAAGGACATCACTAAATCACTATATAATAAAATGTAATGCAGTAATTAATATGCAGGTTGCATATTTTAAAATGAGAAAGGCTATAAGAGGTGATTTCAAATAAAAAAGGAAAGAACTGGGCTACATATATGTCATGATTTTTTTTTCTTTCATATAAATATCAGTATACACACACAAAATATATTTTTGGGAAAGGATGATGAGAGATGTCTATTTTCTTATTCAGAATCTTTGACCTTATCCACACTTTCTGAGTGTATGTTCACAAAGATGGTAATGAACAGTGACTACAAGCAAAGATTCTGTAGCCAGCTAAATTTTGAGTTCCAATTTAGCCTTGATGTGCCATTAAAGTGTCACTATTATTTTTAATCTATTTTTAAATTCTTTTTTAAAATATATGTTACTTGGTTAAAAGGCATATAAGCCAATGAATTATCACAATTTGTTTTGTCTGTTCATTTTGTTTCCTCAACTGGAAAGCAAGCCCTGCCAGGCAAAGGAACGCAACCTCTCTGCTCCCAGAAACCCCTTCCCACCTCCCTCTTCCTCCACGAGGCACTCGTATGCAGGAAATGGAGGCTTAATTTTTTAAAATTTTATCTTTATTTTTGCAAGGAAAAATGGGATATAGATCAGAGGTGCAGGGAGTGAGAGGATCTACCAGAGACAGAATGGGGAGCTGATGAAGTACACTGCTGAGGGGAGCAACCAGAGAGACAGGAGAGGTCTGCTGAGCCATGTGGGTCACCTCCCTGACTGAAAGATTGAACTCAGTCCACAGAGGCGATAGCACTGAGACTTAACCTCTAGGCCACCTGGTGAAAGGTGGGAAGAACCCAAAAGGGTAATTATGTTAACTCTGTCCCTTAAAGCATCCAGAGAGTGGGCCATAACCTGCCTAACACTAAAGACATCAACTAAGCTACATAGCCAAAGAAGCAGAAACTTGGACCATCCAGGGAGAAAGATCAAAGAGGAGTAACGGCCCATTGCAAAGGCACTGATGGGTACTAATGATGCTACTGGACAAGGGCAGGTTACCCTCAGAGAAGTCACTTCATAATGACACCTTCATGGGCAAAGGCTAGCTAAGGGCGTACTACAGCTTAAGAGGCATTAAAATCCAAATACAGGTACTCCCTTGTTTATTACTGCTTTACTTACAATAGGAAAGACATGGAATCAATCCAAATGCCCAAGAGTAGATGATTGGATTAAAAGATGTGGTACATATTCACAATGGAATATTACTCAGCAATCAAAAAAGATAAACTCATGCTTTTTGCAGCAACATGGATGGAGCTGGAAGGGATAATGCTTAGTGAAATAAGCCAGAGAGAAAAGGGAAAATACCAGGTAGTTTCACTCATAGTAGGAGTATAAAGGATCAGGGGAGAAAATAATAAAAATAATGAACAGCTATATACCAGAGACATTTTACGGGTGTGGAGTGGGGAATGGGATCAAAAATGGGGGGGTGCACTGGACAATGGTGGTGGCACATGGGTGATTAGATGATGGGAAACCCATGGGGATTACAACTGAGATGGAAAAAGGAATAATATGATCTAAAAATAAACTATTATATTATTTTTTTTAAAAAATCCAAGTGCAGGTATCTGCCATGAAAGAAGGCCCTCACACTTTCAGCCTCAGGGTAGATGGACCCAGGCTGATTCCTGTGACTGGCTCCTTAGTGAAATGAGAAGAAAGAACAAAAGCCAATATGCATGAAGCTTTGTTGGCTATAAAAACACACTCTCCACTTAGATATGAACATAAATCTGCACCATCAGCTTCTCATCCACAGCTGGACAATACCCATTTAGAAATTTTAATGTCTCTGATATCTTTATCCTCAGATGCTCATAGTAAAAGTGCAAAAGCTTGACCTCTGTTTGAGAGAGAAGCAAAGAATCAGATTCAGTAGTGAATGAGGGCATGAATGACCTGAATTTAAAGCACTGTCCTTTTTACAGTGGTTTAAGAGACCTGGGACTTGTCTGCCCATAAAGAAAAACACACATACACACTCGCAAAATTCCAAAGCAGGATCTGGAATACAGATGATTCATGTTGTCAGCATAAGAAGAATAAAAGTCCAGCTCTTGGCAGAAGTAGTTTCATTGGATTGCTATAAATCTCTCACATGAAGGTAACAGCCAGAAACCAGTATTAGCCAAGCACAGTCTAGAATATATGCAACAAATCAGAATCATCAGCTGCCAATGCCCTTTAGCTCTTGGGGCTGTGAGTCATCCTTCAAGACAACCCTCTGATAACTGTCTTTACTGCTTGTGACTAAAACTTTTCAGGGGGCCTAAGTCAAGCCCTGCCCTGTAGCTTGGGGGCGGGGGGGAGCTGGGTTCTGGACCGGAGGTCACACTTACTCAGCTCTTCCATGTTGAGCCCCTTGGGGACCATCTGGAGCAGAATCACAGCAGTTTCCTTGATGAGCGGGAAGGCCGATGACAGAATGATGATGACCATGACGATCGTCAGGCTGGGATCGATGTAGCACTGCCAGTTACAGGGATCCTCACGCCTCAGGGGGAGCACATAGAAAATGATGGCCGTCACCACCACCACCACCGACCCCAGGGCATCTCCCATCACGTGCAACAATACACCTGCAGCAAGAAGGAGAGAGTGTGCTGTTTATTTCCCAGATATTAAAGGAAGGGAACTGGTTCTAAAAGTTTCAGTGATGATAAGGAATGTGTGTGATCCCAGCCAAGAGGATCTTGGTGTCCAGTATCTTGTCAGAGGCAGACAAAACTGAGATTTGGTGAATTAGATGAAATTCTTCCCAAAGGATTCTAAAATTTAAATGAAAAATTTACAGAGACACCAGCAGAATCTTACTATTCAAAGAATAGTTCGCAGACTAGCATCATTGGGGGGGTTGTAAGAAATGCAGATGGTGCGACTCCACCTTGGAGCTCCAAATCTGATATTGCATTTTCACAAGAGCCTAGATGATTCAGAGACACACAAAGCTTTCAAAGCGCTGTTCAGAAGAAAGCACACAGGTTAAGAAAAGTCAGTGTTGTGTCTCACGTTTGCCACAGGCCCACCCACAAGGATTAATTACTATCCAAATGCAAACAACTCCCTCATGGCTACTGGTCTCACTTGGGAAATGCCTTCCTTGGGCTAATTCTTCACATCTCAAATTCTGAGTAGCATCTTAGGGAAAAGCACATTCTATAAACATACTTGATGTCATTTGTGGCATTTCTCCAAAAAAAAGTACAGGAAACACCCCCATGTTTATTGCTGCTTTACTTACAATAGGAAAGACATGGAATCAACCCAAATGCCCCAAAGTAGATGACTGGAATAAAAAGATGTGGTACATATATGCAATGGAATATTACTCAGCGGTCAAAAAAGATAAGTACATGCCCCTTGCAACAACATGGATGGAGCTAGAAGGGATCATACTTAGTGGAATAAGCCAGAAAGAAAAAGAAAAATACCAGATGGTTTCACTCATAGCAGGAATATAAAGGACCGGGGCGGGGGGATAATAATAATGAACAACTATATACCAGAGACATTTTACAGGGGTTGAGTGGGGAATGGGATAAAAAATGGGGGAGGGAAGTGCACTGGACTATGGTGATGGCACACGGGTAATTTGGTGATGGGAAGCCCATGGGAATTACAACTGAGATGGAAAACAGCATAAAATGATGTAAAAATAAACTATTATATTATTTTTTTTTAAGTGCAGGAATATAAAGAAAGCTCAGACTTTCTTCTGGCTTAGTATTTACTTATGGCAATCATAGGACTCTGATTCAATAAATATATGCACTAATCTTATTGCTGAGTCTGTGCCCCCTTCTCCAACTCCAAAGGCACTTCCTACTGGCCAGCCACTATCCTGAGCCCCAAGGAAAACTCACAACATTCCCAAAAGGTGGTCTACGTCTCTTGTAGGGAGACTCCAAGATCAAAGCTATAACCTTTAATCAAGAGTCATAGAACATGCTCCCATGGAAACATAAGACAGGGAGTGGGAAGTCCAGTGGACAGAGGGTAGACTGTGGGTGGTTTGGTAGTGGTTGGTGTGACAAAAACCATCTGAAGAGGCTGGACCCTAAATCATGGAAGATGTGAAACAATGTTACCTCAACAAAAAATAAACCAGCCAAAATGAAGACTAGGGAAACAAAACAACTGCAAACTTGGTTACATTCTGAGGACAAAACTGTGATGATCAAAGAGTGAGGGGGGTGCACCAGGTGAAAGGGACCAATGCATGTTGGAGGATGGAGACAAGACTTTGGAGGAGAGCATACGGTAGAAAATACAATGTTGAATGATGTTACTGTACACCTAAAACCTATACAGTGTTATAAACCCATGCAACTTCAATTAAAACTTTAAGTCAAGTCCATAATTTTAAAAAAAGGCGAAAATCAAATGTTTCCCATAGGCACTTGAGACCTCATTTTCTCTGCCTGGATGATCTGTCATTCTCTGAGCTCTGCTGTGCGCTCTCACTAATAATGTGGGAACACACCCTCCTTTTCCATTGTTTCCACTTGGGCACTGGAGGACTGGACAATGCAGGCCATCAATGGAACAGTGACAGTGTCAGTGTCAATGTAAGTAGCACACAAACCCCTAGGTGGCTGTGAGCTCCATGGGTGGTTGGAAGAGCCCAGCGCACCCATTTGACAAAGAATGTCCATTGTCTTCATTATCCGTGGGACAGTGATATGCACTTATATCTCAGGGATTCAGACAGTAACTGGCTTTCACCTAATAATAACTGTGTGTGAATGTGTGTGTGTGCACCAAGCTGTTTTAAGAATGCTACATGTATTTACACATTAAATCTTAATGATTCCCTGAGGTGGTTACTCTCTCCATTTCCCAAGTGAGGAAACGAGGCACAGAGAAGCTACATAACTTATCCATGATCACACAACAGGAAGTTTTGAGGACAGGTCTTGAGTCCAAGTAGACTGCTTAGAGAACCACTGTGCATTCTCCTCAGATGGGCCTTATACTATACTCCCATTCCAGATACTCCTTCTGATATAGTTCACTATTCACTCCTAGAAATTATGTATTAAATAGCTTTCAGATTTGTTTTTCCCATAATCCACAAAAAAAAAAACCACAGTTGACACCCTAGCACCTACACAGAATAGACTAAAACAAAGCCTATCCTGACCTACAATTTATTATTGTTATCTATTCAGTTTCCATCCATTTTAGTTAATTTTCTAATTGCTGATCACACTGATTTTCTCACCCAAACGATCACGACTTTTAGTTTGAAAAACTGCTGAAAGCATCAATTCAATCAGTTTTTGAAGTTGAATATTGCCATGTGTCCCCCTGCCTCCCAGGCAAAGATGAAGAAGGCAGGTCCTCATCCTCCAGAACCTCCTTCCACTGACAATTCTGGGATGTTACCCATGACCTGGGGCGCTGAAGCATGGACCCCTTTGAGGGGAGTTTCAGGAAGGCTTCGAAGGGACAGGACTCTGAAGGGGAGACAGACTGCCACCCGCAGAGAGAAGGCACACCAGGCACAGAACTCCTGGAGGCTGAGGCTGGCAGAGCAACCTGGGGCCGATGGGAGTCACGTGGGCTGAGTAGAGGCTGGCAGTCTGATGAGCCAAAAGTCTAGAGAAAGTCAAACGCTGAGACACTAGGTCCTTCTCTGCCATATGGGGGTGATGCCAACATCGGCCTTGCCCATCTCTGTTCTGGAGCATATGAAACAATGTCTGAATCCTTGAGATATAACTGCACATCACTGGCCCATGGGTGATGAAGACAATGGACATTCTTTGTCAACTGGGTGCTCTGGGCTCTTCCAACCACTCATGGAGTTCACAGCCACCCAGGGGTTTGTGTGCTACTTCTTTTGACCCTCCCAAATGTATTTGTCCAACATCCCCAGCTGGTAAAAGGCAGAAGCAGGCCCTCCCTGATGGCGCAGCGGATTAAAGCACTGCCCTGAGAAGCTAAAGCCACTTCCACATGAGTTAGATTCCCGCCTGCCCCGGAGGTGACCACATGGTGTGGCAGACCTCTCCTGGCCCGCCCACTGCTCCCCTCAGCAGTGTACTTTGTAGATCTGCCTGTTCTGCTCCCTACTCTGACTCTGGTGAAGCCCCTCACCGCCCCTGAGCCTCTGGCCTGTACCCCAGTTCTGTATGTACAAATAAATAAATCTTTAAAAAAAAAAAAAAAAAAGGGCAGAAGCAGAACCCAAACCAGATCTGCCTTCCTGACACTCTTTTTCTCCTTAGATGTGTGAATGAACTGGGGGAAGTGGGGAAGGTAGTGATGGCAGGGAAGAGGTGGAAACAGAGACAGAAATGTCTAGAAAGGAATGTGGGCAACACAACAGCAAGCCCTAGGCTGCAGCACTGTTAGCCTTAGTCCCAATGCAGTAAAGGTTTCTGAGCCCCTGCTGGCCCATCTGTGATTCCCAAAGAGAAATCTAGGAGGATGACCTAGGAGGAGAAATCTAGGAGGAGAGACAAAATTCGCTTACTGCTGGACAGCTCAATCAGCCCTAATGTTCACCAGGGGACTTTGCCAAGCCAGGGCCCCTCAGCACATGGCCCTCACCTGCTTTCTTCAGATGAAAACAAAACACAGGCATATAACATAAATGGGCAATGTGACATAAGTTAAAATTTGATTCCCGTCTTAGCACTTGGAAAAGCTGCTGACACAGTGTGTTAGCACCAGGCACTAACAAGTGGTTATAGAAAAATGAACACTCAAGAATTCTGAAGAAACACCTCATCACAGGAAATGTCAAACAATGTCTGGGTTTTTATTTGTCTACGTACACTGACAGTGAAATGTGAAAGGGCTAACTGTTTTTCTGACACTCTGGACAGATTTTTAAGGTGTTGTTTGATTCTACTAAAAAAAAAAATCAACCATCACAAAGTATATGGATGAGGATGTTTAAAGGTTGTGTTTTCACCGAGCTTTGCAGTAGATGCCAAGGTTATGCTTCTTAGAAGGCTTTTTTAAAATTCTATGGGAATAAGGGGAACAGTCATGAAAACCAAGAAATTATTTTGATTCATAAGAATCCCATCAGATGTCTGCACATCTGGAGGGTCCATCCTGCCTTCTAAAGCAATGGTTTAAATATTAGCAAAGGGCCTCCATGGTGGTACAGAGGTTAAAGTCTCCGCGCGTTTCAAGCTATTGCCAGCCACTGCTGCATAAGTTCCATCCCAGCCAGGCAGGTGACCCATAAGGTACAGCAGACCTCTCCTGTCATGTACACTGCTCCTTCAGCAGTATATTTCAGTAGATCTGTCTGCTCTGCTCCCCACTCACTCTGGTGAATCTTCTCATTCCTCCGCCCCCAACTCTGATCTATACCCCAGTTCTTACATACATAAACAAATAAAATAAATCTTAAAAAATACATGTCAGCGGGCCCTCCCTGGTGGCGCAGCGGGTTAAAGCGCAGCACTGAGAAACTAAAGCCACTTCCGCACAAGTTCGATCCCTGCCCCGGAGGTGACCCACATGGCATGGCAGACCTCTCCTGACCCACCCGCTGCTCCCCTCAGCAGTGTACTTTGTCGGTCTGCCTGTTCTGCTCCCCACCCTGTCTCTGGTGAATCCTCTCACCGCCCCAGCACCTCTGGCCTGTACCCCAGTTCTGTGTGCATAAATAAATGAATCTTTTTTAAAATAATAAAAAATAATTAAAAAAATTAAAAAAAAATACATGTCAGCAAGGTAACCCTCCAGTGTGCACTGCAGAAACCAGCTGGTGTCCAAGTGAGTGGAGAGACTGTGTGATGGAGAAGAGCACAGGAAATGAAGCATGTGGCCTACTTCTGCTGCTTGCTGGGTGACTTGGAAAGTCACATTCTCTATACACTCTCCCTTATTTGTCAATAAAGCAGGTCACTTCCCCAAGGCCTTTCCAGCCCTGACACTCTGTGAACTTCCCCTGCATTGCAGCTGCAATAAGGTCAACCTCATACTTAACCCAAAATCCAGAAAAGCCCAGGTTAGCCCTCAGAAAGAATTGAACTCCCCTTGCTGAAGCAGCCTGGATTCCAGTCCGGTAACCCCACTCAGAAGAGTGCAACAAATCCTAAGGGACCCCTTCATGACCAGTGCCTGGCACCAAGCATGTACTCTGCAAAAATGTAGCTTAGCTGATGCTCCTCCCATGGCCACCTCATGCTTTACCCCTCCACACCCCAAAGTGTCTGCTCACACAACCCTCATAGGACAAGGAGCTGGAGGCTTGGAGAGGCTCAGTAACTAGCCCGCTGTCACAGGGCAGAGCCAAGAACCAAGCCCAGGCGGACTGAGCCCAGATCCAATCTTTCTGCATTATTCCCCCTTATCAGAAGTTCCAGCTGCACGTGGGCCCCAGAACCCCATACAGTGAAGGCATTTTTCTTCCCAGAAACTCGAATAACTCTGCACTGAAAATTAGCAAAATCCTGCAAGTTTCCCTTTCATTATGAGTCCCAGACATGCTCCCAATATCTTCTGGGGCCTAATCTGCTTTCTTTCTTTCTTCTTCCCACCCTACCTGTTTCCTCTCAATTCTGTAAGAGAAGAGTGAAGAATGAACTCCATCGCAAAGCCTCCTATCTACCTGCATATGTGCATATGTGTTAACTGAACCTAAGGAAGAAAAGTAAAGGATTATGATTTTTCTTTATAGCATTTCTTTACAAAAAAGAAAAAATATCAGATGCTTTCACTTACAGGAGAAACATAGGGAAACTGAACAAAAGATCAAAGACTAAAAAAGAGAGAGAGAAAGAGCTGCAGGCCAACTATCGGTCTGAGATACACAGCGGGGGAGGAGACGGGAGAGGACTCAGAGCAAGGGATGGAGGAACACAAGAGATTATAGTAAGAGTTCAGAGGGGATGTGGTACTGGGGCATTTATGGGGAATACACATGAGTGGAGAAATCAAATACTGTACACAAGTAAGCAACGATGTAAGAAAAATTTTAAAAAGATAAAAAAAGAATTTCTTTCCCCAAAATCCATCATTATACTCTTTAGGAAAAACCCTGCTTCAACTATCTTTCCTAAAAATCAGTTCACTTCAGAATTTTTGGAGTGTCTGTGTCATTGTTATTTTCTGATCTTCCTTTTAGGTCCATCACTTTGCAAATCAGTTGTTAACCTCAAAAATGAAGGTGTCTCCTGGATTACTTATCTTTCTTTGTATTATTTCTATCTGTGTTCCATTTTTGGATTCCTCAAACCATCTCAAAGTAAAGAGCTATACAACCTCTGTCAAGATTAGAGTTTGTCCCTTCTGGAATCACCCTGAAGCAAAGTCTGTGCCCAAGAATTTGGAAAAGAGAAGACACTCAGTTTGTCATTTGCTGAGAAAAACACCTGGGCTGACCTTTGTCCAGTGCTTATGAACTTGGGCACATGGTAGGAGGTAGGCTAATGACATGTCTTTACATGTTTCTCCAGAAAACCACATTTCAGGCTCAGAAGCAGAGATTCACCATCACCAAAGCAGATTCATGGCAGAAATAATGGCAGGGTGGGCAACCACCAATATCACCACGGGCAGCAGCCCACCTATACTCTGCGCTTTTATCAAAATTATATTCCACCAAATGGGCTGCATTTAATGTTAGGGTCTCCTTGGGTGGACAAAATGTAGCAAAGCATGCCACTGCTACTGACCCCCTCCCCAAATCTGGAGCAGGGAGCATCAGGTGGGTCTAATTGGGCCAAGGATCAATCATTAGCAAATGATGTCTCCCTCAGAATCGATGCAGTGATTAGGCAAGAGCTGGGGTCACAGTCCAGCAGGCTGCCAGCCTCCTTTCTAACACACCATATTAAACATCAGCAGGAATAGCAGCAGAACGTTATCCACATGTTCCAATGTGAAAAGAATTTCAAATCGAGCCCAGGTCAATCCTACCTCTGATATTCAGGGCTTCGGACTTTTTCTCCTTCTTCATGGTCTCCTCTGGTTCATTCTGGGTGTTCAGAGAATCACCTGCATTCAAAGAAGAAACCTTGTGTTGTGTATAAGTTCTACAAACAAAAAGAACCAATCAACTCAAAAAGAGTTTTTGTTATTTTAAAACCCCACTTGCATATCAGATACGCACCCCCCCCCCCACACACACACACTCAAATAGAACATTTCACCCTGAGATAAGACTTGTGATCCACCTTTGGACTTTATTCAGACTTCCATTCGAGCTATAACTGAAGGGCAAGGTGGAACCTGGCTCCACCTCCCCAAACCCATAGCCCCCAAGGGGACAGATGGGTGAAGGAGAAGGGGAACCCTAACGCGGACAGCAGCTAGTGAAGGGGGTGGGGCGCCGCTAGCTGTTGCTTAATAATAATTACTGAGTTCCAAGAAATCGATATTCCTATACAGAGCGAAATGGCGAGGCCAAGGGGGCCGAGGATCCAGAGGGGAAAACAAGAAATGGTGGGGAATACGTTACGCTCTCAGCAAAGAAATAAAGCGGGGCTGCAGAAGATAGGGATTTTTTTTTTTTTAAGCAGATGAGAAGAAAAAGAGGGCGTGGGGCTAGCGAGCGAGCAGAAGCAGGGCACAGAGGTCCAGAGGGTGCAACCGAAAGGCACCTGCTACGTTGGCGAACACGGTCGCCCTCTTATCCTCCTGCCCGGCCGCCGGGAGCGTCGGGGCCGAGTCCCGGCCGGGGCCGACCGGGGGCGGCTGGCGGCGGCGGCGGCGGCGGCGGCAGAAGCAGGCGGCGCAGTCCTGGAAGATGAGCAGCCCCACCACGTTGACCGCCAGCCCCAGGGCGCCCACGATGAGCACCAGCTCCGGGTCGTCGATGCGCTCGGGCCGGGCCAGGCGCAGCACGGCCTCCACGAAGATGGTGAAGCAGAGCGCGGTGAGGAAGACGGCGTTGCAGAGCGCGCCCACCACCTCGGCGCGCCCGTAGCCGTAGGTGGCGCCCAGGCCCCCCGGGGCGCGCCGGGCCACATAGCCCGCGGCCAGCCCCACGCACAGCGAGATCAGGTCCGACAGCATGTTGAACGAGTCGGAGAGCAGCGCGATGGAGTTGCCCAGGTAGCCCGAGACCAGCTCGGCCACGAAGAAGGCGACCGTGAGCACGAGCATGAACAGCAGGCGGCACGTCTTGCCCGAGTAGCGACCCATGTCGCCGCCGCCGCTACAGGTGGGGGTGCGCACCCCGGCCGCGGCCACCCGCTCCTGGAGCCGCCTCCCGGGCTCGCGGCCCGCGGGCTGCTTATAAGGCGAGGCACAGCGCCCCCAGGTCCGCGCCGCCAGAGACCAAAGGAGGGGCCCCGGCGGTAGCGGCGGCGGCGATTATCTGAGGAGTCCTCACTCACGTCGCTTCCCAGTCCTGTCCCCTCCCTCGCGGCCCGGCCTCACTTGGCAGGGGGCCACCGGGCTAATATCTGTCCTCCTGGAACAGAGCTGGACGGGG